TATAACGGGATTATATTGATTAAAAATAAAGCTTAAACTTTAAAAAAAAAAAGAATAAATATATTTGATATAAAAGAAAGTATATATAATAAGTGTAAGTAATTATGAAATTAATAAGTATAAATAATATTTATTTGTTAATTGTTAATAATGAAAGAATTAATGTTAATGATAATGATCAAGAAAATGCAACAATTTAAGGACTTTATATGGCCTTGGAAGTTAAGATTACATAATAAACCCTTGCATACGATGTCATTGCAATATTGCACCTGTTTAATAATTATATATATTTTATTAATAATTATAAAATATATTATAAAATAAATAAAAGTATATTTAATATAAACTATATTATTTATTAATTATTAATTATTATTTATTTATATTAGTAATATATATAAATATTTTAAAAAATGGATTAGTAATAATATAAAATTGTTTATAAATATAAATGTTATTTAATAAGTTTAAAAAAAAGATTTAACGATTAAATATTTTATACCATTATAGTTAAAAAAAAATAAAAAAGTTAAAAAAATTAACAAAAATATTAAGAAAATTATATTATGTAAATATTAAATAAATTTTATAATTAATTTTTTAAATTTATTAAAAAAAATATTAATTATTTATAATTATATTTTTAAATTAAAAAAATATAATAGTTTTTATTTAATATTTAATATATAATTTTTTTAAAACTAATAATTAACCAAATATAATAAATATATATAAAAGGTAATAAAAAAAAAAAGTTTTATTTATAAAATAATTAGTTATATAATATAAAGCATTTTTAACCCATAACAATTTTAATAATAATAAGTTAATAAAAATCAAATATAAATATATTTATAAAAAAAGAAAGGTTTAATTAAAATATATATACTTAAAAATTAAATATTATATATAAAATAATAGATAATTAAGTATAAACCTTATTACAATAACTTTTAAACTATTAATAATTATTATGTTAATAATACATATAAAATTTAAAATTTTAAAAGTATAATATTATAAAATAAATATAATGGCACCAATTTATTTCCTATTTATATTTAAAACAAATATTTAATTTATAATATATAATATATTAATAAAAAATTACTAAAATAAAATAAATAACGTTTATAAAAAAAATTAAATTAAAATATATTTTAAAAAAAAATATTATAATAATTAAGAATAATTATATAAAAAAAAAGGAATAATATAAATTTGTTACCATAAAACGTACAGGTTATACTTGGCAAAATAATTTGGCTTATTAAATAATATAAATGTAAATATAATTCTTAAAACCTTATATAATTATTCTAGATATTAATAAATACTACAAGACTCATTTAGATATTATTATTCTTTATAATAATAATGTCATAAGTCCTTGTGTTAATATATAAAGATGCATAAGAATTCTGATACTTGCTCCTCAACCTACTACATCTACTACCTTCTATACGTGTATACCTACAAGTATATCCAATTGTTAGATTAACTAAATCCCACTCACCATACATGTATGTAAGTACTCCTTTTGGTCATGGGGTAACTCAAAATTCAAACAGCCAAAGCTTTTTCTGTTGGTAAAAGGTGGGCAACTAGTACGAAGGGATCTCTTATATATATTCCTCCATGCTCTACCGTTACCTTTCCCCCCTTTCTCCTTTTCCGTTCCTTATACCAGATACTCTTACAAATTGCTGTAATTCGATTCAACACATCGAAGGAATTTCAACATCCCGCTCTCATTACTTAAGCAATGAGAGAGTATCATGGCTTCTCTTGGTGGTAACATTTTACCCCCTGACCCGCATACAAATATCTATCTTGCTGGAGTAGTAGTTGTCCTATTAGTAGGCGTATGCTACTCTACAATACTTGCGAGAAAAGCAAAAGACAGCGAGAACCCTGGTCTCGTACAGTCGTTGTGGCTTTTCTTCTACACATGTTTCCTCAAACCGCATGATGGCGACAACAATGGCAACCAGCAGGATGCCCTTGAAAGCTTTTATAAGACGCAGGCTGGTGCGTACGATGCGACGAGGAAGGCCCTCCTAAAGGGTCGCGAGGACATGTTAGCTCTCGCAGCTGCTCAGCTCTCTTATCGAGCAACACAAGGCGGCGAGAAGAAGAGACGTGTTTGGGTAGATGTACGTGCTCAATAACAATTATAGTCACAAATCACCAAGGTCACTAACCATACAAATAGGTTGGTGGAGGGACTGGTTGGAACATTGAAACCATGTCCAAATTCGTCGATGTTGCCCAGTTCTTTGATAGCGTTTACCTGGTTGACTTCTCTCCATCGCTTTGTGAAGTCGCTCGGAAGCGTTTCGAGAGACTAGAATGGAATAACGTTAAAGTTATCTGCCAAGATGCAAGGAAATTCCGCTTAGAAGACCACGAGCCTTCTTACCAGGATAGACGCGCCTCCGGTTCCCCAAATCGGAACCACTTCTTCCAGGAGAAACCTAAGAATGGCGGTGCCGACTTGATCACCATGTCATACAGCTTATCTATGATTGTGAGCGCCAATCAATCTAGGCATATCGTACACTTACTTACAAAGTTATAGCCTGACTACTATTCTGTTATTGACTCGCTGCCGTCCTTACTAGCTCCGAATGGTATAGTTGGCGTGGTTGACTTTTATGTTCAATCTCAAGCCGATATCAGCTTCCGAAACTATACTGGTGGCCATGCTAACCGTCATGTCAACTTCTTCGGTAGGACATTCTGGCGTGCGTGGTTTGATATCGACCGAGTTGCTCTCGAACCTGGAAGGCGTGACTACCTCGAGTATAGCTTCGGTACAGTCTTGAATGTGAACAACCGAAACTACGCTCTAGGTGCAATTCCCTATTACATATGGCTGGGGACTCATAAGCAACCATCATCATCTAGCCTCCCGCACGAAATTGTTGAGAAGCTGGATGCTCTGGTTACCGAGTCTCCTTACCTTTACCCCGCCAATCACTCAGCCGCTCTGTCTCGCGCAGTTGAAAGGGCTACGCCAGAGATCCGGTCTAAGGCTTTTGACGCTGCTATTGTCAACATTTCTTCTAACTTGCCTCTTCCGTCCTTTTTCTATCAGAACCATCATTACAGGATTTATTACGACGATCAGCTCAAGAAACACACTCAATTCAACGATGAGTATATCTATGCCTTCACCTGGGAAGATACTCGTGTTGATGAACGCATCCTCAAGCTGAAGTCGGATGATGTGGTGCTGGCTATCACCAGCGCCGGCGATAACCTTCTTTCTTATGCTCTACAGGGACCAGCTAGAATACATGCAGTCGATTTAAACCCGACACAGAACCACCTTCTTGAGCTCAAAGTAGCCGCATTCTCTTCTCTCCCCTATGAAGATTTTTGGAAGATTTTCGGCGAGGGCAAACATCCCGAGTTTCGCTCCTTACTTATCTCAAAAATGTCCCCTCACCTATCTAGTCGTGCGTTTCAATACTGGCTTAACAATCACCACATCTTCACTAAGACTCAGGGTGGTCTGTACGATACGGGCGGATCGAAACATGGAATTCGCATCTTCCGCTGGATTTCTCGCGTATTTGGATGCCGATCCGCTGTTAAAGAGCTACTCGCTGCCAAGACCTTAAACGAGCAGCGTGAAATCTGGCGCAACAAGATTCGCCCGGCACTCCTTTCCCGCCTAGTCTCTAAGTTCGTCGTGAGCCAGGAATCATTCCTGTGGACGGCACTTGGAGTGCCCAAGAACCAGCTCGCAATCATTGAAGAGGATCATGCTGTATCGGAAGTAGTCTGCGGTCCTGACGCGCGGGCTAAGAATACGCGCTCCCACGCCATCTGGGAGTATATGGTCAATACGCTGGACCCGATGGTAGAGTCGACGCACATCGCGGCTGACAATCCGTACTACCTAGTGTGCCTTGACGGTAAATTCAGTCGAACGTGCCATCCAGACTACCTGTCACCTCATGCACACGCCCGACTCTCTCGCCCGGGAGCGTTCGATGGGTTACGCATCCACACGGACGAGATCGACGAAGTACTCGCACGTATTGCGCCCGGTACCCTGACAGTGGCTGTTGTTATGGATAGCATGGACTGGTTCGATCCAGGATCAAACGCTGCCGCGGCACAAATTGCTAAACTCAACCGGGCGTTACGCATGGGCGGACGTGTTATGCTGCGCTCTGGGGGTCTCCGGCCTTGGTACCTAGCCGAGTTCGAACGGCACGGGTTCTCAGCTAAATGTATGGGCGAACGCACGGGGGGCAAATGCATCGACCGTGTGAACATGTATGCAAGTTGCTGGATCTGCACCAAGCGCGATAACCTGCCTCCGCCGACTCCAGAGACGGAATCGGTAGCTAGCTCCGAGATCACTTCTTTACAGATTTGAGATGTATTTAAATGCATCAAAGGGAAAAATAAGTTTTAGTGGTCCTCAAAGGGCGCCCCAGAATGAGACCAATTCAATTACATTCTAATCGCTCATTACCATTATCCTTCTACAGGAAATATATTCGTTGGTTACGGTATATATCATACTCTGTATCCATTGATTGATATATTCCCCATGTCTACTTTTTGGAAGTTCATAGGGTTTGAATTGATTTATTTACAATTGAGTTTGAAAACTTTACGGTAACACTTATAACATTAAATTTACCTGGTTAAATTATTTAAGTCATGCTCGTGAAATGTATCCCTAATTGTAGTTAGTATTGTGTCACGAAAGTGCAATTTCGAATTAATTCGGCTGCCTAGAGCTGAGCTGCATACTTCCTAAGATGATGTGCATGGCATGACTAAAAGTCAGGGGCTTTTTAAAAGATAAGAAACCCCCCCCCCCCCTCTAGTATCAAAACTTTATAGGAAAAACAACTAAAAGACGACAAAGAAGCTTTCACAATAGGTAAATGACAAGAATACCTTTCAATTACCTAGGTGCCTAGGTTATGTACCTATTTATTAGGCCATTCTAAATAATTGCCATCACCATGGCGCCTCTTACTAGTGAGCCCGATGCTATTCGAGTCGCACTTAATCTCGCCCGACGCAAGGTATTTTACAGCCTCGTTGTTGAGATTGCGGCGTACATGCGATCGCAACTAGAACTACCTTATAGTCCCAATGGATCACCATCTCTTTCATCCTCTTCAGGGCGAGCTCCACCTCCATATTCAGAAACAACAGATGCACCTCTATTCTCACCCCGCACTAACAGTCGGGATTCCAATTCCACGCCACCACCACAACCACCACGGCCGCAAAGAACGCCCACTAGTCCAGCACTTTTTAGATTGCGGAAGGCGGCGCTGCTGCATTTCGACTCATGGCGCGACGAAACTCTCGCTAAATTAAAAGAGCTTGTAGCTAAGCCTGACGATCAGAAAGTCGTTGATGCCCGTCGAAAGCGCGTTGAGCAGATAAACGCTAGGACCAGAGAGGAACCATCTGACGGTGAGGACCTGCTAAGCTTCGGCGACAATAGCAGGTCTACTCAGACGTCAATGACACCGGCACTGCCGCCCCGGTCTACCGGACCAACCAGTATACCCGCCTTTCAGGCCTTGTACCACCCCATTCCTACCCGGCTCACCACGATCCCCATGGAGGATCGCAAAGAGGTTCTAAGCGCCATGCTAATCCTACTGTTATCTATCGGCAACTATTCGGCGTACTCGCGTACGCTGATCTGCTACTTGACTTCTGCGCTCGAGATCCCACCTGCGTTCCTCGACGCTGAGGAAACAGAGATCGCGACGACTATGGTTGAGGCCGCGAAGAAGGCTGAGCAAGAAGGTGGCATGTCGGCCGAGGCCGAGGCGCAGAAGCGCAGGGAGCAAGGCCAAGTGGGCCGATTTTGGAAAGTTGGGTTGGCGTCCGTCGCGGGCGCTGCTATTATTGGTGTGACGGGGGGTCTTGCTGCGCCCGCTGTAGCCGGTGTGATCGGTGGTCTCATGGGGTCCGTCGGGCTGGGCGGACTAGCGAGTTTCTTGGGTATCTTCTGGATGAACGGCGCATTAGTGGGTACGATCTTCGGGGCGTTCGGGGCAAAGATGACGGGTGGTATGGTTGACCAGTACGCCAAGGAGGTCGAAGATTTCAAGTTCCTGCCGCTACGGGAGGAGTGGGGTGAAGGGTGGTCGAATAAAGAAGACGGCTCGAAAGCTCGTAGGCTCCGCGTTACTATTGGTATTAACGGCTGGCTTACGTCCGAGGAAGACGTAACAAAGCCGTGGCGGGCCCTTGGTGACGAGACTGAAGTATTTGCCTTGCGATATGAGATGAAGAGTTTGATGGCGCTCGGCGATAAACTTAGAAGCCTCGTTGGCTCTACTGCATGGAGTGCTGTAAGAGCTGAGATCCTTCAGAGGACGGTGCTTGCGACGCTAAGAGGCGCGCTGTGGCCTATCTTTCTCCTGAGCTCAGCTTCCAATATTGATAACCCGTTTAGTCTTGCGCGAAATCGATCCGAGAAGGCCGGTAAGATTTTGGCAGATGCATTGATCAACAAGGTGCAGGGAGAACGACCAGTAACTCTAGTGGGATACTCGTTAGGAGCACGGGTGATCTACGCTTGCTTGAGAGTACTCGCAGATCGAAAGGCATTTGGACTCATAGACAACGTAGTCCTGATTGGAGCACCGGTCCCATCCAATACAGGACACTGGCAGATGATGCGGACAGTGGTCTCGGGCAAGCTGTTCAATGTATACAGCGAGAATGATTACATCCTGGGTTTCCTGTACCGCGCGACAAGCATGCAACTCGGCATCGCCGGGCTGCAATCTATCGGTGAAGAGATCGAAGGGGTCGAGAATCTGGATCTGAGCAACGAAGTAACGGGCCATCTGCGATACCCTGAACTCACAGCCAAAATCTTAACACGATGTGGGTTTCCCGACGTCCGCGGTGGCGCGGGCGCTATCGAGAAGGACGACGGGAAGATTGAGATTGAGCTCCGCGATAAGGATTGGGCTGAGACGGGAAATCTGATCGATATTGAGGATAAACCGGAGCGTCCGAAAGACGAATTTGAGACTATGCCGAATGAGAAGTTTGATCCGGCGGTGAAGAATGTGCTGGAGCTGAAGAGCGATGTTAGCGTAAGAGATGAGAAGATAGAGGGCAAGAGGGATATGAAAGGACCTATTGTCGTATCACGGCAAACAACGGCGGTAACAACGATGACGACTACGCCATCTGTATCGAGCCTCACCGAGACACCTAGAGATACCCTTGAAACTTCCTCCATCGCTGCTTTGTCCAGGTCAACGAGTGCGACTCTGGTTGAGAGTCCACCGCCTGCGTACCCAGGTATTGTACCGAACACTAGCCACAACCACGATGACTACAACTACGATTATGATTCAGACGAGGAGGGTGGCGGGATTAGGATGGTGGATAATGACTCGGATGGAGAGTTGACCTTCATCGAGCCGCTACATATTGAGGATTGATTGATTATGTATCAAGACGTTTTGAGAGGACGGTATATACCCAAGCATGGAAGAAACAGGTCATGGGCTTTTCATTGGAGGCATAGAAGCGGTAGTCGACATGTTGTTATAACTAAGACTTTTGGGGGAAGCCATGTAAAATAGATGCACCATATCAAGTAACTACGGAATTAAGAGAATTTTGGCCAAAGTAGCTGTGATTATTAACTCTAATGACAACCAGCTATTCGCAGCTTACCAAAATACGACATTAAATTTATTGCGAAATTACTATGTAGTATGTATCTATAAAATGCCTATAACCAGTTACCTTCATATGCTCTAATCTATCCCTTTTACCCCCAATACATCTACTCTTCACTACATCCGTTTTCGTGCGTTGTCGCTAAACTTCTAGCCTCCTTTGGCACCTTAACGAAAAGTAGCAGTGTAGCAACAGCAGAAATAAGGATTGATAACCCAAAATACGGCAGCCCAATCCACCCGCCACCTAATTTCATCCCAAGAGCAAAGAGCGCAGCGAGGAGTGGCTGGGCATATACGCTTCCGACAACCTCAGCCATGGCGACAAGACTGAAAAGTCGAGAGCGATGCTCTGGATCGACGTATAGACTCATCAGGCTTCGAGTTAAGCTATTGAAGCCGGACCCAAGCGCCATGAGCATGAGTCCGAAAATAAAGCCTGGAAGTGTCGGAGCTAGACCGAGGATGAATATCCCCACGGCTAGGAACATATATGACCAGCGCGCCAGGGAAAGGTCACGATGATGCTCATCAGGTGCTCGGATCTTCTTAGGCGTCGTACTTTTCATGACATACCGGGTAACCCATGGTAGAATCATGAGTGCTTGAACGACCTGGGCGGCTCCATACGTAGACTGGATGTAGCCCGTCTTGTAAAGCTCGATGCCATACCTCTTCGACAGAAACTGCGCCATAAACTGGAGCGTCGCGTACAAAACAGGTGGAGATCCAAGACATGTTATTAGAAGAAGGATGAGGGATGTGGACTTGAGCATTGAAAGCGACTCCTTAAAACGGGCGATGACATGCGATACCCGTGACTTGAGGTTTGTAGCTTCTCCTTCGTCCTCTACCGATTCCGGTTCGTGACCATGTTCTTGGCCTGGCTGATGCTTCAACGTCTCCGGAACGAAGAGAAAAGCAATTCCGCTTAGCGCAATGACGACAAAAGCAATCCAGATCGGCGGCCATGGTCCTACCTTGGCCATTAATAAGGAAGAAAGTGCTGGGGCTCCAAGATTCCCGCATAGGCTAGCGACGTGTACACGCATGAACGCAATAGCTCTAAAATTGATAAGTTACGGATGTCACTAGATCCTCGAGTAAGACTTACTTACCTCTCTTCTTCGGTCGTCGAATCAGCGATCATGCTCAACACGATACTAGAAATGACCGTACTACCACCACCGAGGAAGTTGCCCAGGGACCCGAGCCAGATCAGCTCGACCGGGAATATGTTGTGGAAATACACCACCGTCATAGCCCAAAGGATCCCGAGAAGAGATCCGGCCAGAGCGAGGGCGACTACGGGCTTTCGTCCTATTCTTGTGAGAGTTAGTCTAGTTGCTAAGCTGAGTGTTAGACCCGTTCTACGCACCTGTCTGCCGCGAGACCCCAAGGGAACGCAGCGAGGAATCCGGCCGCAGCATCAGCGCTGCTCTGGATAGCCAAGATGAAAGCTACCTTATTCTGGATTGCGTTTTCCTTGCAATGTTTCTCGTCGATGGGACCGGATGTGCTCCCATCGACACCGTAGTACTGCCGACATGCTGCGTCTTCTAACAGACGGGTCTCTGGTATTCCGATGAGCCCAGTTGAGGAAGAGGATATGAGGATGATGATGCAGAGAAGGTTCACAATCGTGCGCCCGCTATGTATCTTAGGCACGTGGACGCTTGTAATTGATGTAACTGATAGCCTCTGGCGATGCGACGGCCGTCTTGGACGCTCGTTTGTCAACAGGGGGGCTGTCTCAGTGAGAGTGATCTCATCCGAGTCCCGGCGATGCAGCTCGTCGTCACCATCCATCATTCTATTATATTATTGAAATCGGAAAATCTTCGGTATCATTCTACCTTCGAGTAAATCGAACCGCGTCTTCTTGATCAGATGTAAGATTATTTAAGACGACAATCTAAAGGAATGCTCAGCAATTGAGACTTATTTACTCCCTTGTTAGCGTATTCCGACTCCGAACGGGAACGGGATCAAGCCTAAACGGGAAGGATTCCGAACTCCGAATTGACGTGCTCGTCTAAGACTCGTCATACCCTACGATCCTAACTCCTGGCGAATCAATAATTAGTAGCCTTATTCTGGTCGTGAATATAACTTCATCCGTCGTAAATGTATTTAGATTATTAATATAAATTTCGCAAAATATTCATCTTTTATAACCACATCAATTTGGTCGCTATCACATTCGACATTATGAGCCTCTATATTCTCAATCTCATAGCTAACTTGAGAACTATATGGTTAAGAACATTTGGAATAAGACACAGTATCGATCTATGCGAGACTATTATAATGACTTTGTGAGCAGAGAGGTATATAATATGCGGTAAAGGCTAAGATATACTGCATTACGAGCTGCATCTGTCCTCCTTTCGGAAATCCTTCTGGATACATGTATCCTAGCGAGTCTCTTCATGCGTCTAGTTTTCGGGAGATAAGAAATAGGAGTCTACTTGTATATAGTTTCTCGTTTATGTCATATGCACATTTAAAAAACCGTCACGAAAAAGCATATAATACTAAGTTCTCAAGTACCGGCGTGCTAACCAGTTGATTTAGTACAGTGGCATATCCAATTATATTATAAAGTGAGGTTATTATGAGAAGGCCACAAGGTTATTCAGCCAACCATATTTCTTGAAAATAAGTACGGTGTACTATGTAGCACGGCGGTACTTGAGGGCATATAATAGTTAACGATCATCCAGCGCGCATTATTGCTACTGTATTGTATTTATATTAAGTACTTCAAGAATTAGTCTCGACTATCATCGACCAAGCCTTTCTACTGCTAAGGCATTTACCTACTGAAGCTTAAATTAACAGTCGAGTCTCAATAACATAAAATGCTCATGTATTTGTCGAAAGTTAAGGAAGAAAGATAAATCCGCAAGCTGGAAGCGAGATAATTGTAGCTACTCTAAATAGGCTAGTAGCTTGCTTCAACTTACAATAAGTAACTGAAGAATCTTATTAAACACCTCAGTACTTGTTAAGGTATAAGTAGTACTAGTATGAATTAAGTATAGATCTACATGAAATAGATATATAAAGGCGCACAATGCCCTCGTAAGAGGATAGAAAACCAAGCGTTAATAAATTCATAGCAACTTCGCCGCTGCTTTTAATATTCACTTTACGTATGACATCCATCAAGGGGTATTTCTGACAGTACTGCTACAGCTGTAACCGTACTCACTCCACGTTCATAACAAAATGTTGTCATATATAAGAAATAACACTACTAAGTGTAAAATTAAGACGTCTTTATCGTTTTCATGATTTTGCTTCATTTTCTACTATCTTCATTTATGTCAGGCGGTACTCTAGCTCTATTCCCCTCGGGGAGTACTCTAGACGTCTAATAGACGTAAATGTTATCATCATCATCTACTATCTTCATATATTATTACGGTTCGTAGAGGACATTAGTAGCCATGGTAATCCATACGTAAAGTATAGCGAAGTAAGCTCAGATCTTGCTAGATACTAGAGTAATCACTTGTAATACCATATGTATCACTACGTCTTAGTGATAATATCTTAGGCATAAATAGGGCTAGTAATGTTAGCCTTATGGGGCTAGTTGATAACCCTGTAGCCCTATAGTACCTGTCCCTAACACTGAGCTTCCTCAACCCCACACATTGTTGCTAATTACTTTTTCTTTTTGCGAGACCGTATTCTAGTTATTGCATATCTTGGCCCACGAGATGTCCGCATCTAGGCCCGCTCTCTCCTGTGCCATCCCTGCTCATCGTGGATGCATCCATCCATCCTTCTTTTAATTGCGGCCGTCTATCATACTGTGTTGAATCCGGACGTGTTGAGGTAAGCGGTCGGGCTGGGAGGTCATCGTTAGTTTTATACTGTATTAACTTACATCTAGTCAGACTTAACTTGACCCTCTCCTAAGTTTTTATGACCGGATCAAGCGGACGAAATTCATATAGATGGTGTAGATAGGGATCTTGCTCGTCTGTTTTTTAGAGTTCTTGAATTACCATACCAAAAGCTAATACACCGATCTCGATATACAGATCTAATCTGATCTTGACCGCTTAAGATCCCAACATGCTTGTAGAGATTCCCGCGGAGATATTTGAGATCGATTCCGATTTGCCTAACGATGCGGGCTACAGTACCGCTACAGTCCGTCAGCATCGGGACGTCTAGCATTTGACTACAAATCGGCATGTAACTCGATTGGCCCATCATGCTTTATCTTACCTGTTTCTGGAAAGGTGAACTTACGGTGAACATAGGCTTCTCCAAATACTGGGTACCTAGCTTTCATCTCATCTTTGAACAACGAGACCCAATCAATATTAGGTCCAAGCTTCGAGATGACGACTAAAAAGCAATGCTGATTTGCATACCTAGACCATACGAACCCTAGGGTAGTAAGTCCCAAAAGCTCGGGCGAGACTTCTAGGCAAAGCATCGCCTCTAGATCCACGCAACTAAACACACGTACGGTTGACCAGACAGGGTACTGTGCCAAAATGAAAAAAAAGATCGCGCACTAGACTAAAGTTGGTAAAAGGTCACGGACCACAATTTGAAATATACTTTTAAGCCTCATACGGTTATTTTTATAATATAAATATTCAATTAATCAAAAACAGACCCATATACCCTTACTTATACACATATAAATTTAGAGATGGCTTCATGAATACTAGTCTTAAAATGACATGATATATATCATTCAATAGCCCGAATTGATGCGAAAAATATGATATCAATTACAGTATTGTATGATACGAATCAGGTAGTATGTATATGACTTACCCAGTAATATTATGTTGAAAATTGTCCCAGCAAAGGGTATCACGTGACTATCTTAGGGATGATTACATATGTAGCGCAGCGCTAGGTGGGGCTGTTTAGCTAGGTATAGCTAGTAAGTATCTTTACATATAAATATATATACAAAGTACAAAACACTAATGGAAAGATCAACTTTTTACATACCACACGTAATCTTTCCAACTTTATCAAAAAACCTTAAGTAAACATATACAAATTTAAATAACTTTACCACTACCCAATTTTAAATAACATAATTACTATTGATAGATAGCCATAATTAATGCGAAAATAATAACCTAAGGTGCATGTTGTTTAGTAACTTAAGTTGCATGTTATTCAGATATAATTGAATTGTGTTGCTTCGCAAGCAAGCACGTGATACCCTTTGACAAGACAATTTTCAACATAATATTACTGGGTAAGTCATATAATACCTGATTCGTATCATACAATACTGCAATTAATATCATCATTTTCGCATCAATTCGGGCTATTGAATGATATATATCATGTCATTTTAAGACCAGTATTCATGAAGCTATCCTTGAATTTATATAGGTATAGGTATAGGTATGGGATTTTTGAATACAATTATATATACTATGTATAAGGTAATAAGATATGTACTTAGGTAGCATAGGCATTTTTCCACTTTAAAAGGTAAAGTACCGAGCTAATTGGATAAATCCGTGTTTAACTACCCGTTTAGGCTTAATTTTTATATTTTTTTCATTTTGGCACAGTACCCTGTCTGGTCAACCGTAACACGTGCGCCCATCGTCAAGTGACCCCTCGGATACTGAAGTTCCCGGGCAATCACAGCCATGACATATCATACTGTAGTACCCTGTTCTATGACAGTCGAATCTCACCAGTTTATATCGTATCTAATAACCTTAAGTATATCAGCTTTGTTTTTACCCCTTTCAAAACCATTTGAGATATTTCAAAGGACTTTCTTGTTATCCTGCATTGATAACTGTGAGGTAGGCTCATAAATCTTCCTTACGCTGCGGTATTGAAGTGCGTGAGTCTAAGCAAGCCACGGTCTCAGATCGATTTAGATCTTAGATTAAAACTCTTAACAATTTCTGTTTAGGGAACGATTGACGGTTACCTTAAACTTTGAAGAATCGAGAAGACAATTAATCACCTATCATCTACTCTCACCCTTGTCATTTTCATGTCCGTTATAAATAACAGATGAAAATGATATAAAACCCCTACAAGCCTTACCGAGGGGCGTTACCGCCACTCAGAGGTATTCCTACCTAATGGGCTGTATACCCCATAGCCCTACTTGTACCGATATTTACATGCTGCTCTATATGGTGTCGTGCAGTTACTAAACGCCAACCGGGGGACTTCCCGGCCCCCTCCGAAGAGTCACTAGTGCGGCGTCCGCTCATTTCTCACATGTACTTCACAGTATAACATGCTCTGTACGATCGTGTGCAACGTGGTTCGATGGCGTTGCGAGCATGGAGATGGGGGAATTCATTATACGTAGGACTGCTTGGCCAGGGTTGCCCACAGCTTCAACATCCTAGTTGAAACAAATGAGGAATGACACAACAGAGAACTACCGCAGTTTATATTCTTATATCTCAATACGATAATGCAAGGTTGCAAATTTGGAAATGCAGCTGCATCTCAAAGTGTTGTAGTGTCTTAGCCAAGCTGAATGTGAGTACACATCCTGCCCCATTGTTTCTAGGCAGTCTTTCAGAACATTCTAATTATTCCCCAGAACAGGATATTTCACTAGTGACACGCGGCTAACAGCTTCCAGAATCCCCATAGTCTTGCTGGTTAGGGCTGCATGATATAAGTTTGAGAGTAGGTCTTATGAGAACGTCTTAGATGGATCTACTCTCCATCTCACCAGTTTCATATCTTGTTCTACTCGTAAGGATATTCATCTTACGAGAACTTCTTAGCCGTTTTAACAGAATAATATTTTCACCTACAGATAATTCATCCTCAATATGGCAATCCGAAATCACTTGGAGTATGTCCAGCCTTCTAGGATGGTCACAGGTCTTGAAATCCAGAATAGGAAACGCCATCCGCTGCCGTCATTCCAACCAAAGTCTGAACAGAATCTACAACAGCGAGGTCGAGGTCGGAATCCAAAACCATCCACTACGCTCCCGGTGTCGGCGAATCGATTCTCGAAAAGAACCCTGCGTCAATACCTCAACACCATCACCGTGCCACTCCCACTGTCCAAGGGTGTCTGTCATCTTGAGATCCTCCCCCAAGACATCATCAATAAAATCAGCCAGTACATCCCGTACGAAAACTTGATTTACCTCTCCTGGGCATCGAAGGTACTCAATAAATTAGTCGACCCGCGTCTAGCACCCCACGAGACGAAACTGTCGTTCGTGTTACGCGCCGAGCGCGACTTCTACCGGCACTATAGTATCAGGCCGTCCAACCTCGGCTGCTTCATGTGCTACAAAATCCTTCCCGCGAGCATCTTTGCAATCGACCAGCCGCTTCAAGCTGAACTGTCCACCTCAGCAGTAAGTAGGCCGGTGGTGGTGAATCTGCGGCGGTTCTGCATACGCTGCGGTATCCAATCCGGTTTGCACAAGCCGGGAGACGAGCTTCTCACGCGGATCGACGACAGGTTCTGGATTTGCGACTGCTTGTATGTACAAGGCGAAAAAACACTTGTCTGTCGGAGCTGCGGCGTGATGTGTTACCTTAGGCCGAGGAGGACGAAGCCCGTCTCGTTGCTGAAGTCACCGATAGGATATTAGAATTAGGATGTTGGTGCCTCAATAAAGGGAATTATGCACGGTTTACTAACTCGTGCCAGAGATAAGATTTGATACGATCTTTTCTCTGCCTCTTGGAATCTCTAATTCCTAGGTCTTAGATATATACTTGGTCAGATAAAGTGAGGGTTTTTGTCCATACTCGCTGTTAATATTACGTGAGCTTGATGCTCCAGGTGGGTTTTTGATTAGCGATTGGCATGTCGATGGATGGTAATAAGTGTGTTTTACTGCAAGGGGGTGAGAAAATGTGCTTTATTTGGATATCCAATGGGAGGCTGTTATGACCGGGTACCGTTGCTCTTTGTACAGTAATGGAAAATAACAGATATCTAATGGGTATTCTATTCCGGTCAGCCGCACCTGTGATTTTGTAGCTGAAAATGACTTGACAGTGATCTACATTTGTGGCGTTAAGATCAACCCCTGAGCTTGACCGTAGCGTACTTGTGTGCAGGTAGGCACGCGACTTCTTGTCACTTTTGGCCATGTATCTAGTCTGCTCAATTGTTGTCACTGAACGTCGTAATGCTTGCGTAGCAGGGCTTATTTCCGGATATTAATAGGAAGGAAATATAAGATATCTAGGTAAAGCTAGGAAGACCTAAAATATCGCAGTTTAGAATATCAAAATTGCGATAATAAAAGTAAAGAAAACCCCATAAAGAAACATTCATAAGACTCAAAAAAGAAAAAGAAAATAAGAAAAGAAAATAAGAAAAGAAAAAGAAAAAAGAAAAAGGACAAAAAAGATGAGACTCGAAATTCGACCTCCAATCGATTGACCTGAACAAGTTGGCCTACTTGCCGCCCCTCATGGAGAATCGAACCCCAAGCTCTAGAAAAACTCCTGAAGAATTGTTTCTATCCCTATTTCACTACCACTACACCACGGCCATGTTGGTTTCGCAGCACTGACTGTCCAGGGGTGAAAGAACAGCTGTCTAAGGGGCTATTTAAGTCGACAGTGGGGTACGTGATGTTGCTTAGCAACAGCAAGCAGCTGCAACACCCAGCTGTAGAACCTTAAAAAATCAAAAGGAAAATTGTCGACTCAAATAAAGGCGTTTGGGCTACGTAGACTTTCCCCCTTCTCCGGAAATGATACATTGGGAGTGCGGCAAAGATGTTCTAGGCATATAACTTTTCTTAATCTCCCAACTCGCACTGCAAGGCGAATGATGAATAAATGTGAGCGAGTCATTTGGAGTGTGTTTCTTGACGTGTTTTTTGTAAGGATTTCTACGTGCTTACACTGGCTATTCAGGACTCAATCCTAAGATCTTCTTCATGGTACAGAATGAACCATCCATATTCCCAGGCTCAACATGCAAATATACTATAATTTGCTTGGGGATTTAATTTACAAAGCTCAGTTATGATAAACCCAATGAACTCTTAGAATCATATAATTTCGTCCTGTTAAACGGCTTACTTTCTAAATTTGCATTCCGATTAAGTGCTTAACCCGAGGTATTAATTATTCTTGCAACTAACATACGAACAATGTTGAGCCAAGCCTACTAGGTAACCAACATACGAGTCCTTTCACTGCTTGGGCGTACAAAGGACTTACTCGTAATCCTATCTTACCACTACTCCGGATATCATAAGAACTCCATTAGGTAAATCATCATACTCCATAAAGTAAGAAATATTATCCAAGCCAATTGCCGTTTACGAAGTGGAAAAACGACATAATAATACTTATTATTTTACAAGAGTAAATCACACCATACCCATCCTATCCCACCTAGAAGTGATATTCTATATATGGAGCCATAGTAATACTGATATGTTTGCAATGCCGTCGTAATCTAACATGTCAACGCCGTCTTACAATCTTCGCAACAAACTCGCCATGTCACGACGGAGTACAACGATCGTCCATGATATGACTTCGACCAACAGAAAACTCCCTTACTTACGTTGTTGGTCCGTAGAAATTAATAGTTTCTGACTATCCGCGACGTGCCATGTTACACAATAGGACTTTAGGCAAACGAGATCATGTCTTATGTACCTACCTAGTTAGATAATCATCTCTAATCCGAGGTAGTCATATTAGTAGGAGCATTTAACATCTGAAGGATTGTGACGGCTCCTTTCGGAAGCCTTTCCGCGGTTTCTTACTCAGCGCTGTTATCAAAGTCGATCTTGCGAGGCACGCCTCGTAATCGAGTAATCATAGCATTTATGATATTACAGTCCTCGAGATCTGTAGTGTTGCATCTATAATCAGTCCCACTACACCAAGCACAATTATATGCCTTAATCAGGGGCGCGGTGCGGTCATCCTCGGTGTATGAAATAGGAATATAATATTTCATCAGGATGACTGAGGTATAGTTCCAGTCTTTAACAGGTTAGGACGAGTTCAAGGCATAAATCTTACGACAGTGTTTTTCAAGTGTCACTTGAATTATTATAGGTATCTAAACTAGGTAGTGAGTGATGTCCATACCCTCTATCTAGATCTATAGGTAGGTAGGTAATCATGAGCTACCGATGGGATCTACCTGAATTAGACCCATTATCATCATACGAGGCCTGTTATTGTGAGGCAAATTTTAAGTCTAGATGCGCCTTAAAACACAAAGACCCTGCTTAGCCTTACCTCGACAAAAATCCCGATGGAGCCCATACCAGACTATGGCGAGAACTGGCTCGAATAATCCTCCCGCCTGTGCCATACACGGGACTGTCCTGCTAAGCTAATATCGTCAGATCTTGGAACATAATGTTACGATCTGCTGTCCTAATAGAAGCCAAGCGACAAGGGCGAAGGAGGCCTCAACACGGCTGGGATGTTCGATGAACAAGGGAAAGTCGTAGTCTTTGTGGATGAGACAGCATAGTCTGAAAATCTGAGGCGTCTAGTATATTTGCCCTTGCGTGCGGGATCGCCCATAACTATAACTCGAACAGATATGATCTCGGCGAAAAACAGCGGGAGGAACAATAGGCATACGACGCTAATAATCCTCAGGCAAGTTCCTCGTGCTTCTTCGATAGGCTCTGGTATTTTTATAAATTTATCGGGACCGAATTCCGGGTCCGATAAGGTGGTAGATCGGCCCCTCGAACTTGGAGAAGTTCAAAAAAGGAAAAGAGCGTAGTAGTAGATGACACTGGCCATCACTATATCGGGAATAGCGACGATGCTACTCACTGATACGGGCGATTATAATGCATGCAAGCTTTGTGGAGGGGTATAGGCCTTGGCATAAAGTTCATATATCGATCGTCAGCGGAAAAGACGACGCCCTATTAGATTCCCATTTTGTATTCGACAGTTTGCTGGACGGGAAACGGAAACCCCTGAGAGAATATGATATAGAAAATAGGAGTCAAGTTTTTCGAATGACAAATATTATACGTGCTGGACCGCTTTAGACTCATCTTTGGGTAATGTTACATACTGGTTGTTGATTGAGCCTCTATTGAAACATGAAACAGGATGACATGCAGCGCCATTTGAAAATGACTATGGGTCCGTAGAGCTGACATACTAGAGATGGGTATACAGTTCTAAACAGGGGAAATGGCGGCGAAATGAGGTAAATAGGATACTACTGAGTGAGGTTACGCAAACCATATTTTGCATAGAAAGGCGACCAGTGGTGGGTGAGAGGGGTGACTGGACCGTAACAATGCGAATAATTTATGGTTACGAGCTCGGTAGGAAAGCTGCAGCTGAAACCATTTGGTAACCTATAAACTGGGAGAGATATTATTAGATAATATGTGTTAGCAGGGCTCATTCAATACGACTCATTGACTCGGGGTCCCCTTCATGGTCTACCTATGCGTATAACCCCCTCCCGCGGAATTTAAAATTCGCTATGAATATCTATAATGCCTCAATAGGGTATCTAAAGCGCGAAAATGAGTTCGTCTAGATATCCGGTATAGACGCACGATATGGTGGCGTTTTGGTGTATAGAAGTTTAGCTCGGTCGAGCTGAATCTTTCGGTAAACCGGTAAGGCTGCTGATAATTTGACACAAATGACGTTGGTATCGGACGCACATGTTCCTGCATGAGGCAGATCGAAGGTGGCTGAGGGGTAAGATAAATTGATGCGCGACAATAGGCTGCATTTACGTCTGAGAATGATCTGCATCCTGTTTATTCCATGACTTGCATCCGAAAAGGATAAAGTAGTGTAACGGATGCCCGCCGTATCGGAATCGTGAGACTCGGGCGCTGGGGATAATTTAGTCAGCTCATATTCCATGGAACACCGTCCGGCGTATCGGGACAGTCTGTCACCAAGGCCATGGTTCTTCATATTGTTAATATCGGTTATCAATTGTCCTTGGCAAAACGGCATATAGTGTAGGATCGGCAGCAAGGTTACTAATGTCCGGGATTTTAATGGTAGAATCTTCAATTGGTTAGGGGGGCCTGCCGGTAGCAAGCATTATACTTGACAAGCATTTAGAGCCGGCACGGCTCGGAACCCTTCGATAAATAGCCGTCTCAGGTCAGATGTTTATATCGGTTTTTAGATTCCCGCGAGGCATAAATGGTCCTCCGATCTTCGATCTTGATTTTGAGTTGAATTCATCAGCCTGTAACATACGTGGATTGAAGTTCCTTGCATTCGTCAGTCGTCATTCCTCTCCAGTCTGCAGCCAGAATAAAGCTCTCAACCAGCTGACTTGTGCCAACTCCGCAGACTCCGATACTATTAACCCTGTCGTCAACCAGCAGTATGTAGGTATAGGTGAAATAACCCCTGAAAGAGTTTCGTGACAGGGGATTTGAATGCATCTTGAGTAATCCTATCCGAGAAAAACCCTGCAAAGTATAGACGTTGTGAAAATCAGAAGGTCGATCTTGGCCATGTCATGTATTGGGCACACCGCGGCCGTATACTGCGTATATCGACTAGCAGTATCTTTCTAACACACGGTTAATCAATAGGAAACCGCTTTTTCTTGTCTTAAGCCGGGAACAGCAGCTCGGGATGGCAG